CTACTTCGTCACCAACGCCGGCCGCCGCACAGAGGATCTGGCCTTCCTACAGGCCGAGATCGAGGCATACAGGCAGACCCACGGCGCCGACAGCATCAAATGGGAGATCCTCGACGACCGGGCTCTCGTCGCCCTGCAGGGCCCGCTCGCCGCCTCCGTCCTCCAGCCTCTGATCAGCTCCCACGGCGCGGCCTCTCCCGCCGACACCGACCTCAGCACTCTCTACTTCGGTAACTGCCGCTCCCTACACCTCACCCTCCCCGACGGCACCCCAACCCCACAGCCCCTTCTCATCTCCCGCACCGGCTACACCGGCGAGGACGGCTTCGAGATCTCCATCCCCACAGCCGGCTGCCCTTCCCTCCCAACGCAGGTCACCGAGCTCCTCCTCGCCAACCCGGAGCAGGTCCGGCTCGCCGGCCTCGCCGCCCGCGACTCCCTCCGCCTCGAGGCAGGCATGTGTCTATACGGCAACGACATCTCCACCGCACAGACACCCCCCACAGCCGCCCTGGGCTGGGTCGTCGGCAAGGACCGCCGCGACCCCGCCACAGCGACCTTCAACGGCGCCGCCACCATCCTCCCGCAGCTCGCGTCCCCCGCGAAGACCCTCTCGCAGCGCCGCGTCGGCTTCACAGTCGAGAAGGGCAGTCCCGCGCGCGAGGGCGCCATCGTCGTCGACCTGAGTGATGACTCGCACCCGCAGATCGGCGTTATCACCTCGGGACTGCCGAGTCCGTCTCTGGGCGGTACTAATATCGCCATGGGCTATATCAAGAACGGCATGCACAAGAAGGGAACTGAGGTGGGTGTGTTGGTGCGGAATAAGCTCCGCAAGGCAACGGTTACGAGTATGCCCTGGGTGGAGAGCAAGTTCTACAGGCCCAAGGCTTGAGTGATTCGTTACATGTTTCTTTTATGATGCTCTTATGTAAATAGTTACGATTGCAGTTAGATTTTTGGTTTGGGTCCATTTTCAACATGACGGTATAATATAACGTTCGTCCATGATTCAACAAGGGCTAAACACTAGCGGCTGCAGTCATGTGCAAACAAAATTCACAATGGTTTCTCAACTTGCAGACTACTACACATGGGTAAATTCCTTGCCAACAGCATGGTGCCGGTAAGCAAACTGAAAAGAGTGACCTCTTCGTCTCGCATGGCCATACTCGCCGAATTGGAGAGGAGCGGAGTCGAAACCAACCATTCTCTGCCTGAGGCCCGTAGAAGTAGCCCCTCCCCGAGTCGACAACGAAGGCGGCAGATCCTCCTCGGCTGTTCCCCAGCGACTCTCGTTTCGACCCAGAACAAGCACCAGCTCCTTTCCCTTGGTGAAAAAGTCATGGTCAACCCAGTTCTTGGCATACGGCTTGCCGTTCAGCGTGGCAGACTGGATGTAAATGTTCTGGTAGGTAGGGTCAAAGTTCACCGCGCGGACAGTTGCCGTGCGGCCCGTCAACGGGGACTTGATGCGGACGACCTCGAAGAACGGAGCGGTAATCAGGTACACGCTTTGTCCGGGGTTAGGGAACAGGCCCATCATTGACATGGCGACGAAGGAGCCCATGGCGCCCGAGTCATCGTTGCCTGGGAGGCCTGCGGGTGCGGGGTTGAAGTATTTGGGGATGTAGAAATGCGCGCGAGAGGCTGATTTGGCCGGCCGGCCGGCGTAGTGGTATTGGAAGACGGTTAGGAAAGATGGCTCGTTGCCGATGTAGGTAATTCCTTTATCGTGGAGATAGTCGAGTCGTTGGACGTATCGGGCCGGTCCTCCGAGAAGGGTAACGAGAGCGGCCATATCGTGAGGGACGAAGCTGGAGTCTAGTCAGCCGTGAGCCTGAAGAGTGGAAACGATGATTCTTACAATTGGTATTCCCAGATGCTGGACTCATACGTCTCTGCTGCGTTGTTCTGGAGCGAGCATGATCTCCCGCTGTTGTCGATGTTTGAACATGTCAGGGGATCCTGCATTCATGTCAATCGGCGAGTTTCGCGAGGATCGGTAAAGGAAGACCTACCTGGAACCCCCAAGTGCCATTCAGATATCGGGGCTGGAAGAACCCCTTGAATCCAGTATCGTTACCATTGATGAACGAAGTCTGATCCTCACGGAACAGATTTCTCCAGTAACCCGAAGTCCTCTCATACTTTTCTGCGTCCTCTGTTTTGTTCATGCCACGCGCCATTTGCGAAATGGTGAAGTCATTATAGGAATACTCAAGAGTGCGGGAAATGCTGCGGGTCATAGTTCCAAAGCCGACGTAATCAAAGTCCTCGACGGGAATGTAGTTCAGCGATTTCCAGCTGTTCAGCCCACCTCGGCCTTCGTTTGACCAGTAGTACGGTTCTACCTCAGCGTCTTTCTTAACGGCTGCATAGCCCGCTTCCCAGTCGATGCCATCGGAAATGCCCTTGGTGTATGCATCGGCGAGAACGACGTCTGCGTTGGATCCTCCTTGAGTGTACCCTACAGTGGGTCAGTTCGTCGACGCGAGTCTAACCGTGGGTATCTTGATAATACCTTTGCAAAGAGACATGCGACAATCCGGAAGCCAGCCCAGATGCTTTTGAGTATCAATAAGCGAGCGGACCATCCGTGTCAGCGCCGCAGGGTCGAATATGGTCAAAAATGGCAGCTGAGACCGGAAAGAATCCCACAAACTAGCAAACGTTAGGAGAGTCGCGTTGGAAATGGACTAGACCTACCAGTAAAAAGAGTCGAAGTACGGCTCATTGCTTTCCCAGAGTGGGTTTTCTCCAGTGTAATCCTGCGGATTGATCATTGTACGGTAGATACCACTGTAAAAGTTGGTAAGAAGAGAAGCATTGACGCCTTTTCTGGACACGCGAATAGGGGCAAGCTTGTCCCGCCACGCCTCCGTAGCCTTTGAGCGTGTGGCTTCAAAATTGAAATCCGGAATCTCAGACTCAGCATTGGAGCATGCCCGCTCACTGCTGATGAAACTCAAACCCACTCTAGCCTGCACGGTAATATCCGAAGCAGCATCAAACCGGACAAAAGCACCTCCCTGCGTTCTGTTAAAAGGGACTGATGAATCAGACCTCCAGTGGACTCACAGGAAGAGGGTATCCATTAATACTCCGAGATATCTTCAATTCCTTCACGTCTGTGCTTGCGCGCGAATTGACAAATATTCCGTTGTCGCGAACGGCAGAGCTGCTCTGAAAGTCAACACAGAAGTAAGGCACGTATGATCCACTTCCGAAGCTGGGTAGAAAACGCGCATGGCCCGTCATGCGTCCGGTAGAAGCGTCGACGGAAATTGTTCCATTGTCCTGTCTTGAATCCGACAAGTCTGTAAGATCAAGCAGGATGAGCGGGCTGGATGAACTATCGGCGGGAAACTGAAAACGGAACAGAGATGCATGATGGGAGACGGTCATATCGACTTTGATGCCGGAGTTCATGGTCAGTCCAAAGTATCCAGGAGAAGCTTTGACAGAGTCCGCATGATATCCGCTGTGGCGCTCTTTCTTCGGATAAGCGCAACCATTGACATCGTCATCTTTGCATTTGACATAAGGGAACAATGGAAAGTTTCCGAGGGATGGGTTTCCTCCAGTGCCGGAATCATGCAAGCTTGAAAACCCAGTTATATTGCTGCCATCGAGTGTGAAGCCTCCCTGGTTGCTTGGGGAATTCGTGTCGGCTACAGCCTTGGCCATGCCATAGGGAAGCGATGCACCAGCAAAAACATTGCCTATTAAAATCTGTCAGTGAACGATCGTCTGTACCAGTCAAGATTCTATCTCGAGAGCGCACCTCCGTTGGCACTTCCAATGAGTGGATCGACGTATTGCAGAACATCGTAATCTAGAGACGTGGAATTGGTCACGGCCAAAGCCAGTGGGATGCTCGAGAGAAGGAACAATGATAGACGAGTCATAATGAGCGACCAAAAGTTGGATATATCAAATAACGAATGGCAGTAAACTATAAGTTATTCCATAGGCGTAGCCTACGCAAGAAAGAACGGAAACTGACTGTCTGCCAGATACGGAGTCAGGCCGAAATCGAAAAGCAGCATGCTCGCGTCGCACCGCATCCTTATCAAGGGGTGCGGAGTTGGTGGGATGTTCTGCATTGTTGCATTCCTATGCCCCTGACGATCCTGAGCAAGGGTGGTTGATACATCCTGGTTAGCGAAGGATGGTTTTAAGTTCGAACGAACTAAAGGATCAATTATTGATTGATGGCTAGGAGGTGGAAGGTGAGAGGTGATCAATCCCGATGTGACGGAGGTGCAGATGGATGCATTAGCGCTGTAACAGTCAGTGGCAGGAGCACATTGCATAATAATAGCAGAAGTTCTTCATCAATGATATTGAATGAGGAGCATTTGAAGCCTGTTATTGTTGGGTTATGAGAACGCCTAGGGTCCGAGTAGAGTCCGAGAGATCATAGCAGTCGATCTCATCTCGGAGCAGACAATGAGGCTAGTCAATCAGACGTCGATAGTCGATGACAACATTTTCATCCTGCAAATTTATGTGATAGGTGCATTCTACACCAGCAATCATAGTATCTATCAACATCAGATCATCTCTCATCAACGTCCATGATACTACCTTACTCAATCAGCCGAGGTTCTCTGACTGATCCGCTCCGCCATCCGCCAATCGGACTTTGCCATTTCCGCTCATTTTTGTTGCATTCATTGAGAGAGGTACTCCGTATCCCCCAACGGAGAAATGACCAGGTAGACAGAGGATCTCTTGAAACGTGAAGTTGAGATCCAGAATACACAAGGATTCATAATTTAGGAGATCCACTTTTGAAGGCTGTTGAGAGACCCCTCGGTCAGCCTCATGCCCACTTTGGGGAGCCATTATTGCTAATCCTGACAACATCCGAGGCACTGCATCTCTTCCCTATCTCCGTGTCCAAGAGTCAGTCTTCCAGACCCATAATCAAAAAAGACCTCCAACTCCAGGCCTCCATTTTCCACCCCGTCTTGTCCCCAATCATTCTGGCCATGCGGCCGCCAGTCCCGTCCAGAGCTTTCTTTCGGAAAGTCTCCACTAAGCACGGCCCGTATATTGTCTCTCGTCTGCCTACAAAGTCCCAACACCTGCCGAAGATCCCCAATCGGACGCTCCCGCTTCCTTCAACTTGTTCACGCTTCCTTGGCCCTCGTTTACACAGACAGTATTCCACAGGTACGCATGTGATAACCTTCGGGCCATCAGGCTGCTGTGACTCGGGATAAAACTAACTCATCTGCTGCAGCTTCAGCGCACTCTCAAACATCTAAGCCTTACCTGCTTCTACGTCGCATTGTCGGATTCACGGCCATTGCCATTGTCGCATTTTCTACCGGACTCGCTTATCAGACTCAGAAGACTGTTGCGCGCATGATGGCTGTCAGCATGCCCACCGACGAGGAGACTCTCACTGCCTTTGTACCCTCCGATGAGTTCACGAAAGAGGTCGAAGACTATATCCGCAATCACCCTGTGACCCTTGCTTTACGTCAAGACCCAGCTTATACCGAATCGCGACCACATTTGAAGATCCCGCAAGAATTGCGCGCGCGTCATCTAACCGCCGGTATCCTTGCAACCCCAGGCGGAATTGTGGTGCCGCCTTACGTTTTCTGCGAGGAGGGCGGAAAGAGTCTGACTGCCATCTTTTACCTTGGCTCCGATGTCTCCGGTCATCCTGGCATTGTCCACGGCGGTCTTTTGGCCACGCTGCTGGATGAGTCCATGGCCCGGTGCTGCTTCCCCGCGTTGCCAAACAAAGTGGGTGTGACGGCCAATCTGAACATTGACTACCGGCGCCCAGCGATGGCCAACAACTATGCTATCTTGAAGGCGAAGACGGTCAAGGTGGAGGGCCGGAAGGCTTGGGTTGAGGCGCACATCGAAACTCTTCCTGAGGATGGTAAAGAACCAGTCGTACTGGTGGAGGCAAAGGCTCTGTTTATTGAACCCAAGCAAGCTGCGGTAAGTCCACTTCCGGGGACATGGGAATAATATGCTGACGATGATTTCAGGCCATGGCAAGTCTGTACAAAGTTACCAACTAGTATGTCCAGGAACAAGCGGATAGAAATACGTAGAGGTCGGGTCTTGGGCAATATAGAACTTTATAATGTATTGTTTGTTTTGGGCGTATAGATGGGAGCTTTTTGCGATAATGTACATAATCCAAGGCATATAGGTTCTAGAATAGCGAACATACCGTATCATCAAGAACAGGCTTTTCACTGATATGAATGCAAACCAAATAATTCATTTACACAACTCATACTGAATTTAAAATCCTAAAACGCTCATGATCATCGTTGCTGTCAAGTCCACAATATCACAGTTGACGCCAAAACATGGCCCACCGCCTCCGCCGACGGACCTTCCGATGACCGCCAGCTCCAAGCTCCATACCACCAGACATCCAACGTCCGCCGAGCTTCTGTCTGACTACCTCACTCCCGTTTGCTTGGGTGTGACGGCCCATTTTATCGTTCTTAAAATTATACATCCCACTAGTCCTCCCTGTATCGCATTCCGGCACCATGTCCAAGTCGAACAAGTACCTTCTCGTCTCGCTCCCCACATCCATCACTCCCTCACACCACCGCGATGACGCTCTCGATGCTGTTTCTGCCACGGTATCACCCGACAATGGCTCCGTAGCACCCTTTCCCATCCCGGAATTCAAGATTGGTACCCTCGACGCTCTGGTGCAGCAAGCGGATGAGCTGGCGAAACTCGAAGCCTCTTGCCAAGGTGTCGTCGCCAAGGTCGGAGATGCGTTGAAGAGCGTCCTCGAGGGAGATGAGGGGCAGATCGATAAGATGAAGACTGTCAACGATAGTATGTTTACTGCGTCTGTCGTGGAAAGGAGGACCTGCTCGCTGACTGAACGTAGAGCCCGTTGATCAGTACCTGAGGACATTCTCGTGGAATAAGGTCAAGTATCGTGCTGATAAGCCGCTGGGGGAGTTGATCGATCTTCTGCAGAAGGTACTGCATCTGAATCTTATAAGAATCTATCGAGAGCTAACGCACATATAGGAAGCTGCTAGTATAGACAATGACATTCGGTCCAAGTACTCGCAATACAACCAGGTGAAGAATACGCTGGCGACTCTTCAACGCAAACAAACGTGAGGGCACACGTCATTCGCTTCAACATTCTGCTAATTCAGGTCTAATCGTAGAGGAAACCTCTCCACCAAGTCACTCGCTTCAGTCGTTGATCCCCGCACTCTTGTCCGCGATTCCGAATACATTGAAACGCACCTCGTCGCTGTTCCCGCTCAGCAAGTGAAGGAATTCCTCAAGACATATGAGACCGTGGCGCCCATGGTCGTTCCCCGATCCGCGACTCTCGTGGCCTCAGACGACGAGTTCACGCTCTACGCCGTTACGACATTCAAGAAGCACAGCCCGGAGTTTGTCCACCGGTGTCGTGAGCACAAGTGGATCCCGCGCGATTTCAAGTACGTAGAAGGTGGAAAGGAAGAAGAGCGAAAAGAGGTCGAGCGTGTGGGAGGGGACGAGCGCAAGCTCTGGGGTGAGACCCTCCGGCTTGGACGGACAGCGTGGAGTGAGGCCGTGATGGTTTGGATTCATGTGCTTGTTCTGCGGGTGTTTGTTGAGACCGTGCTGCGGTATGGCCTGCCGCTAGATTTCGTCTGCACGATCATCAGGGTATGTTGACTCCGCGACGGTCAATGTCCGCCTTTACTGACTTAAGGGTATAGACGCAATCCTCGAAACATGCCGACAGGGCTAAACGGAACCTCGATGAGAAATACTCGTATCTCGCCGGAAATGCCTTTGGGCGAGACAAGAAGGGCCGGGTCAAGCGAGATGACCCTCACGAGATGCAGGCGGGCGCAGAAGGCGGAGGCGCCGAGTACACTGCGTATGTGTACTACGAGTTTGAATTCAATTGATGACGGGATGAAGAACAACACTCCTGGTCTTGTCTCACTTGTGCTTATTTGTCTACGTTGGTACTATATACTACCCCATTGAATAGCGTACATATACAGTTCTGTATCATTTCGCATCTCTGATCCTTTCTTTATATGTAAAACCACTGGATCCTTATATGTACAAAACCACTGACAAGGACGATTCTATCTGCAAGATCTATCATGGCAAAAACAACCCATCCATCTACTCCTTCTTAGGAGGCAAATACCCCTGCTCATCCAAGTACGCAATAATCTGCGCAACGGCATCCCTCACGGGCAAATCATAGTTCTTGATATGCACCTCGGGCTTATCCGGCGCCTCGTAGGGCGCACTAATCCCCGTAAACTCCTTGATAACCCCCTCCCTTGCCTTTTTATACAGTCCTTTGGGATCCCGCTTCTCCGCAACCTCAACCGGCACATCGACATACACCTCGACGAACGGCAAGCCCGTCTCCTCGCCCGGCGTCGGCACCTCGTGCAGCTTGCGCGCGGTCTCGCGGTCAGCCTTGTACGGCGAGATAAACGACGTGATGGCGATGCTGGCGCTGTCAGCGAAGAGCTTGGCCACCTCCGCAATGCGCCGGATGTTCTCGTTGCGGTCTTTCTCGCTGAAGCCTAGGTCCTTGTTGAGGCCGAAGCGGATGTTGTCGCCGTCCAGTCGGTAGGCGGAGACGCCCCGGTCGCGGAGCAGCTGGTGCTCGAGTTCGACGGCGATGGTGGATTTGCCTGAGGCGGAGAGGCCGGTGAGCCAGATTGTGAGGCCGCGTTGGTTGCGGAGGGCGCTGCGCTCAGAGCGGGTGACGGCGCTGGCGTGGTAGGTGATGTTTCTATAGAATAGTTAGGTTAGCGGGGTTCGAACGAGGGAATATGGGGTCGTACGTGGCCATTGTGAGGGTGTTTTTGGCAATCAGGACGAGAGAAGGTAATTGAATGGGAGAGAGATGAAGGATGAAGAATTGAAGTATGCAGAAATGGCCTGAATAATTGGTATAAGAGCGGGGCGCTGATCGCGGGGTGAATCCGGTGAGAAATCAGTGCTATGGAGCATCGGAGGAAGAAGAGATGATGCCATTTTTAAGGATTCTTATTGGACTTCTACATTGTCAACTGTTTTTATACTCAGATTCTAATACTTCAGTTTTACTACACAGGAAAAGAACCTAGAAGATACTAACACCATTCTCAATTGTGTTCTCTGCATTCTCCCCTGAATTGCCTTGTCAATCCAATATCTCTGACAAACCGATCATCGGAGCTTGCGTGGCTCTCGCCTTGACTCCAGCCACGGTGGATCAGAACATACGTGACACTTCACAGACGGCAACTCGATTTCTCGTCTCCTGTCACTTTACTATTCTTAGATTACAACACTGGCTATCTACGTACTCCTGGCCAGGCTGATCACCTTCTTGGCCGCATCCTCAAAACTGTCAAAGGCGTGCAGGGGAAGCCCACTCTCGGCAATCTGTACCAGTCAGCTTAGTCAAGTATACCATAGTCAGTAAATTAGACTGACCATCTTCTGTCCGATCTCCTCGTTTGTCCCCCGCAGTCGTACTACCACCGGGACGTTCATTTCCAAGTCCCGAAAGGCCATGATAATCCCCTCGGCGATCATGTCACACCGTGTTAGGCCGCCGAAGATATTGACGAAAATGGCCTTGACCCGTGGATCTGATCGAATGATCCGGAAGGACGACTTGACCGTTTCCGAAGTTGCTTTGCCCCCTGTGTCAAGGAAGTTGGCGCAGTGACCGCCATGAATGGACAGTGCATCAACGGTGTTCATCGCTAGGCCGGCGCCATTGACTATCTGGTCAGCTCCGACTGTACTCTCGTAGGGTGGGCAAGCTCACCCAGTGTCCCAATGCTTCCCTCTCCTTGTAACCTATATAGCGCCTTAGCACATTACCCACGTAGAGCCGTTGTCTACCAACCAGAGACATACTTGACATAGACGATTCCGTCCTTTTCCGCGTCGACTTCTTCAGGGACCTCCTCATCCTTATTTCTGAGTCGGTGCACATCTTCTTGACGTCCCGAGCTCCGGAACGCCGCATCGTCAAACCCGAAACGTGCGCTTCGAACTTGCATCTCGCCATCGCTGAAATTGGCCCATACTTCCAGTAGGTAGGCTTCCTTCTCCTTGAAGATCTCCCAAAGTGCTTGCGTCAGCTCTGCCAACTTCCCGCGTGCTGTCTCTGGAAGGTGCAGATGGGAGGCAACAGCTTCGAGGACTGGGCTGGTACTACTGAGCTTTTGCGTTGTGTAAGCGAATGGGAATCTAGCGGAAGACGCTTGAGCAAGATCAGGTGTTGTAGAAGCAACTATGCAGGGCGACAATGCTGTTCTGTCCACAGTCATTGTGAGCAAGACATCTGAATCCGAAGGAGCTGCCTCGTTCACCGAGATAGATTTCCGTTTCAGCATCTCGAGAGCCTGAAATTCCTTGGCATAGAGAGATCGCTTATGTATTGACCAGGACGACACACGGCTACTACCATGCGGGAAACGTCGCATTGTATGCAGGCCTCTTTTTTGGCTGCTAGAACTGATAGGCTGAGAATTGTTCAGTCTCGTCACGAACTGGGCCGTCAAACAAAGCTTACCGTGGCACTCGTCATGGTTCTGCGAGCTAAGAGAGCTCTCATTCCCTGACCAAACTTTTCTGGGTGATCGACCATTGTCACTCCAGCGCTCTCGAGAGCTCTGTGCTTGGTCTCAGCATCTGGCTCTCCAGGAGCTATCCAAGCGCCGGCGTGGCCCATGACCCGACCAGGAGGGGCCTCTCGACCGCCAACAAGAGCCATAATAGGTCTAAATAGTGTCAGTTATCAGGTACGCCAAAACATACTCAGACAGTGCGTACTTTGGGTTGTCAGTCCGCTTGTTGTAGTCTCGAATCCACTCTGCTGCATCAATTTCCGCAGTTCCACCAATCTCGCCCACCAAGATGATACCTTCTGTGTCAGGATCTTCCTCGAAGACCTTCAGCGCATCGACGAAACTGGTTCCTGCCAGTACATCTCCACCCATGCTGATGCACAGACTCTGACCAAGACCAGCGCGCGTCGTCGACGCGACGGTCTCGTAGCTTAGCGTTCCTGATTTAGCTACGATTCCGATCTTCCCAGGGGAGAAACATGGTAAAGGTTGGAATCCGATCCGGCACTTGCCAATTGCAGAGATAATCCCGGGGCAGTTGGCTCCTACCAGTCGGGTTTTGGACTGGGTCTGCAGCATAGAGTGAACCTGCCAGACGTCAGCTATATGAGAAAGTCAATGGTCTTATCTACTAACACGAAGCATATCATGAATGGGAACATGCTCCGCCACAGCCACAACGAGCGGAATCTCTGCCTCAATTGCTTCCTCGATGGCCTTCGCTGTCTGGTTCCCGGGGACATAGATTGCGGTTGCATCGGGCTTGGCCCTTTCTTGAGCCTGCATCTATGAGCATGGTGTCCATGAACGAGTGAGCCAGGTTATTCGCACCGCTCGCACTGAAGGAAATACTGGAAGTCCTAGATGCTCACCCTCCATGCCGGGCTTTACACCTCCTACAATCTTCGTACCCCATGCGAGGGACTCCTTGACATTGGCAGTAGCCTTTGATCGTCAATATGACAACATTTTGACTGCCCTCGAGAGTCATAGTCTACACATACCTGCCGTCCTGCAAACGTTAGCTCATACGGCTGAATGATACGCAATCGAGAAAGCACCTGTGAATCCTTGAAACAAGACTCTTGTATGCGCTCCTATTTTGAGATTCGGAAGGGTGTCCGCATAGCTGGACGTCCTTGATGATGTTGAGAATCGCGAGAGTCTCAGAATGGAAGTTCTCTGTGCCCTTAGAGGCAGGGGCCGTAAACCCGCCATCCTACTGCCAATGGCAAGAGTTGATACAAACAAGCCTTCTAGATCCTCAGACACTACACCGCCAGAGTGTACCCTTGAGGTAAAGTTGAATGATTCCCTGAACGTTCAACCAGAAATCGAGATGAGGGCGAGCAGATAACCAACCTCCCCTCTATAATGGACCATCACTCATGGAGAAGAACCGGTTATATAGCGTTTGATGGAGCATAGGAAGCCTCGGGATAGCAGCTGCAAGCCGCCGGTCTCGGAGAACCCCGCGCCTGCGATTTCGAGAAGATCTACATCTTCTGATTGGCCTTCTCGGAATAGGCATATTAGTCCTTTACTCGGGAAACCAAATCGCGGGGAGCGCCTCACGTGCTCTGTCTTCGTCGTTCAAGAGAGCACTGGGATAGTAGATATCTATTCATAAGGGCCTAGTAGAGAGTGTAGGATAGATAAACAAACAGTGAAAACGGACCAGATATATTCCGCTCAACACCAAAAGTTCAATCTGATGTCATACGTGCGATTGGGGCTTAGGATCTCCAACTGTCGTAGATAAGATCGTAACGACGGAGGACAATCGAACGATCTGGTAAATTTTCAATGGCTTAAAGGGAGAGCTGTCTGTACCTACTCGGATCAATGGACAGTAAGGCAGTAAGTAAATCAACAGTCGCACTGCCTGTACGATGTGGACAGAGAAGAGCCAATCAACAGGTGCAACCGCATATACTCGGCGGGGCTCAACTCTGTGACTGACGCCATTCATTCCTTTGTTCCATCGGAGAGCTCAGTGCTATTAATATCTGCATTCTGGATCCAGACCATAGAGTCTCGAACGTCCATCGATTACCCACGTCGAATATATATATCTTTTATATATAATTCAGGACCGGCTGGCATGGCCGCAAAATCCAGTCAGAAATCCCAGGGTCGGTGTATATTCTCCATTGCAAATTACCTCTCTAATTCCCCCTTGTGAACGAGCTAATCCACAACGTATTCGTGGACTCTGCGCCTCTACCCTCACCGCAAACCACCTGCAACCACACTAACCCCAATGTCAATTCCAGCAGCCAGCCCGGAGCTCGAACAATCCGTCCGCCAACTTTCCCTCTACGACAATGCCCCCATCAAAGACATCCCCCGCCCAACGGTGAAGACACCTACCACCAAAAAGAAGGCCCCCGTCGTCGCAGACTCCTGGGAAGACGAAGCAGACTCCGACCCCTCTCTGTCCGAAGTTGAGCAAAGCCGCTCGTCGTCCGCAGCTACACCCGACCTTTCAACACTCTCGCCCTCCGTCAGCGCCAGCGCAGAGGGGCCGCTCGATCCGCCCCCGACGCCCATCTCGCCGCAGACGTCCCAGCCCTGGGTGTCGAGCGCGCCGTTGCCGGGGCGTGGCTTGAGCTCGTCCCCGCCGCGAGGGTCAGGGTCTAGGTCGCCGGCGAGGAGGCCAGAGAAGCAAACTGCTGTTGCGGGGAGGCTAATCGCGGGTGCCTTGGGCATCCGGGCGCCAAAGAGGACGGAGGAGCAGCGGGCGTATGATCGGGCGGTAAAAGAACAGGAGATTCGCCGGCGGAATCGGGAAAGGGAGGAAGAGGCGAAGAGGAAAGAGGAGGAGGAGAGGGCAAAGGCTGCTGTTTGGGATGCATGATTATATTGGACTTTATATGTTTGGATGCAGTGTCTTATGTCTCGGGGTTCTTGTACAATTTGGTCTCGATGCCGGGTTTCTGAGTGGTTTTGGTCTTCATCCTTTATGATGTTCCGGCGAGAACCTGCAATCTTATATACTCATAAAACCGTCTTGGTTCGCGACTACGAATGCCAATGCCAGCATTTTTTGTGAAGAAATTCTCATGAAAGGACATATATGATTCATAACTCATTCGAGATGCCATGCAATGTGAAGTGTTCAGAATGGCCTATCCACATTATCTTAACTCTCTTAGCTTTTTCCACTTTTCAACGCATGTAGCGAATCTGTATTCCCAAAGAAAAAACCACAAATGGAAGTCAGAAGAGCACTCAGATCAAGCAAAAGCTTGCTGGGCCCGGGGCCAACGAAAACACCTCTACTCCGGTTATCTCTCAAAATGCGAGCAACGAAAAATCTGAAAGACGATGAATTCATTGTATTGAAGGCTCCCAGAGAACCCTGTCTAACCGCCAATCTGCTCCTGGTGCACCTCCAGAGTATCGCCATCGGCCATATCGAGCTGTATTGAAACCGGTCATTAGTCTATGCTTTCGAAGACGACAGAGAGGAAAGCTGCACATACAGAGTCAGGTGTGTCTTCGGGACGCACGCGGGTACCGTCAAACAGGAAACGGACGGTAGACAGCTGCTTTCCCTGGCGCTCACAGAAGGCGTCCATGAGCTTTTTCAGCTGTGTTGTGCGTTTGATCTTGAAGAAGACCTCGTTATTGTTATCGGTGACCTTGATGTTGAGGTGCTCGACCGGAGCGGGGGCTTCGCTTGGTGTTCCGTTGTCGGCCATGCTGGCGGCTAATCAGAATATAGACAAGAGGATGAGAAGACTGCTGTTGCTGGGAATCCCTGAGATTGACATGACTTGTCAGTGTTCGTCCCAAAGCGGGGAAGTCGCATACAATGTGAAAGGATATCGATGCCAAAGCAGGGGATTTAAACTCACCGGTAACTCTTGAGGTTCAGTGTAGAGATCACGAAGCGCTAGGAATGAGCAGAGGAGAAAGCGAAAAGAACTGGATAAGTGAAAGACTATTGAAGTCGTAAGAGTAACCACGCGCTGAAGAAGATGGAAGGCGACGGACCCCACCGCCAGTGAAAGAGTGGCGGAGAATCTATTTTGCGGCGCAGGTCCCAACATCAAGCAGGTTGGATAGAGGCCTTAGGTCAGTGTAATATTGTAGGCTTTTTGGCACTGGAAACAATTCATTTTCAATACCTCAGATATCTTCATAGAGGTTCTACGGTTCCATTTAGTCCACTTTGAAAGGTCATAGTATCCCAAATCGAGACTGTCACTTGTGTTGTCGGAGATTTTAACTATTGCGTCATGGTAAGAGGGTTATGAGTGTGAAGCCAATTGAGGCTCAAAGTGAGCTAACAGCAATTGAACCGTAAGGGCAATTTGAAAGATGATCTGGCATACGATCCTCCGTGTCATCCAAGAGCTGTAGGTCAAATGCGTCCTCATCTATCATATAGATATATTTGTACTGACCAACCTAGTGCGCCATTCAAGGTACTTCTGATCACCTATGGATAGCATCATGGCCCCAAACGGTCAACATTCAAAGCTAACTGGAGTAGCTTGCCTAACCAAGAATTCGTACAAGGAAGAGAGATGCCAAGCTCAGATCAATGCCTTGTACGAGTGCTGTAATGCTTTCTACCAAGAGAAGGGAGAGGATGCAAAAACTCCCAGTTGCCCTAAAGCAAGCTTGCTGAAGCTGAGGATGAAGCAACAATCTCAGGAAAACTAGAAATCTTAGAGCGAAGCTCTTCATGGGTACAAATCGGTGTCAATAGGTCTACGGTAATAATAAGATGGTGCCGATCAAGAGCAACGCTGGCGATTTTTCCAAAGTATGTGACAGATTCCTTTGCAGTCTCAGCTCCCACGATGAGAGAGCTAGGCTAGTTGAGGAACTGCCAGATTGCTCTAAGACAATCTTGAGCACGCAAAGAGGCCGTATGACCTGAACGAAGATAGAGAAGCTGCTCGTCCCGAGACTCTAATGATTGCCTATAAGACATTTGATGAAAGAAAAGAAGAAGAGAAAGAAAATAGATCGTGGGAATTGAAATTTTATGCGTGTCTGCGTATATGCGCTAGTCCATATCAGGCTTAGTCACCAAAACAACGCCCAGCCAACGGGGAACCCAAACTTTCCCTGGGCAAAAGCGCTAGAAGTCCTGTCCCAAACCCTCTGGGAGCTAGCTATTATAATCCTTAACACTTATTCTTCTCTTTTACAGAACGCATCCCCTAAAGTGAAGGCTCTCTAGTCACTGCGGGCATCAGCGGGGATTGATATCATCTTCTCAAGGCGCTCAGTGCGTGCGTCTACTTCATGGCTCCTTTGTCCACGGCGGTGGGCTCTAAAGCTGCCACTGCTGGCTTTACATCGGTCAATGTTCGTTCTTCCGTTGGGTTGCGCAGGCTGGCCATAGTAATATGCTAACTGCTGTATTGATTCCAGTCACACCGTAATACCTTTAACGATCCTGAAATTATTGAAATCGATGACGATGACGACGAACCCATGGAGGATGACGAGGAAGGAGATGAAGAAGAAGAAGGCGTCAATGACGGTGATGAATACGAGGATGAAAGCGTGGAAAATGGCGACGAAGAGGACGAGTCGGAGGAAGAGTCCGCTGAAGATATGAATGGCACCGAATCGCCGTTGGAGCTCGTTCCTGCGCCAAATGGCCGAGGTATATTTTTCCAGGTATCCGGGAACTGGCGAGGAAATGCTGACTCGATCTGGTGCAGGTGCTTCAGACGTGTTCACACCTGGTTTGTTCACATCGGCCGGCGCACAACAAGCGTTACATCCCCTTCGCCGTACAGCGGACCGTGTGACGCGCCAGATCGAAGCTTTTGCAGAGAGGTTGGATCGCTTCAAGCAGAAAGGTCGCACCGACGACTTTGGAAATTACCAAGCCGCGTATCAATTGGTGAAGAGCTACCAGGTTCTCGCGCAAGATGCGATCCAGGATATCTCGAAGCAGAACACCCTGAAACGCGCGAAAATGGGCTGGAGCACAAGTCGAACCAACGGCGCCGCATCGCATGATCCTAAGATAGAGGAGGAGCTGCAACGGTTACAGCTCGAGGCAAATACTTGGCAACTTCTTCTCAACCTCATCAGCATTGACGACCCCCCCAGCAGAGCCAGCTGCAAAAAAGCGCAAGAGACTGTCTTCCAGAAGCTCCATCGGTATTCATCTGATCGCGAAGTCTGGGAAAACTTCCTCAGCGCGGACCACTACGCGCTCGAATGCGTGATTATCATGAAGTGGCTGGAGCACACGGCGACGACTACGCCTCAGGATATTGATTCGCTGATCTCCGAGCTCGAATCGCAGGCGGAGCGAGGACAGGGACACTGGACACATGGCTGGCTCTACACGAAGGAGACCATCAAGGGACAGAAGAGACTTCGTGCTTGGCCTCAGCCTCTTGAACCCAAGGATCCTGGCATTACAGCGTCCCTGTTGACTTCTGATGTGTCGGAGCCATTGATTACGCAATTAGATCCGGATGCGGTGACCCGGCAGAAGCAGCACCTTCAGAAGCAGGATCAATTCTACGAGCGCGCGACTTGGATGACATGCTGGAAGATGTTGAGACAGGGAGAGAATTGGACCAAGATCCGGGATTGGGCCGAGGAACGACTGGAAAAATGGAAAGCTGTCAGTTTATGTGGCTCCAGTGTTGATCCCGAGTCAGGGGGTGAGCGGACGCCAGTTGATGATGGAATGACGCGCATGATGAACTTTCGCTCCCAGGAGTCCTGGCGCGCGGCTTGCTCTGCTTTGGCGCGGAACCCCAACATTGAGGACTTTGAACGGGCGGTCTATGCGCTACTCTGTGGGGAGACCGAGGCCGCTTTCAAGGTCTGTCAGAGCTGGGATGACTACCTCTATGTCCACTTCAACAGTGTGGTCCTGTCACGCTATCAAGGGTTCTGCAAACAGTTCCGGCGCAAGCTAAGCCACTCGCCTACTGCGCCGGTTACCTTCGTTCCTGAGCCCGTTGGATACGGTGATTTCAACAAGTTTGTGCAGTACACGAAGGGCAACGAACGCATTGGGGTGGAGGCGCGCAACCCGTACCGCACGATTCAAGCTGCGATCCTAGGCAAAGGATATGACACATTTTTCTACTCGCTAGCCAAAGCAGTCTCGCAAGTGGCGAAGACGGGCTCTGAAGATTCATTTGTGCCGGATCTGTCACCAACCCATGTGGACGACTCGCTGATTATTGCCGCTGAGGACGACGATGCACTACGGATCGCGACGCATCTCTACATCATCGCCAGCTCCATTGGCTACGTCCGTTCTGACACCCAATTCTTTGAGACGGCATCTGTGAATGTCATCGGTTACGTCGCAAATCTCGAGTATGCTGGCATCTACGAGGCGATACCACTCTACGCATCCCTGCTGCCTGCTCAACAAACCCACTCCGTGCTCGGCCGGGTGCTGATCGAGATCCTTGACCCGAGAGAGCGGAAACAGCAAGTTCGATTGATCGAGAAATACGATATAAATATCGAGGCCGTCTTGGAAGACCAGTGGAATTGGATCAGCAACACTGTCTCTGCAGTTGAGCACACGAGGACAGTGAAGCGATATCCCAAAGTTGTCCGCAGAGACGACGGAACCCGCGAGTTGGTACCAGTCAAGACAGACTTTATCGGAACCGAGATCTCTCGCTCAGACGAGCGGTTAATCCGCAGTCTCGAATGGCTCCGGTACGTTGATGGACAATGGGGCAGGATATGCCACCTTGGCGCTTTTCTGTATAGAAAATTCTACTGTGAGTCACCCGTTTTTGTTGGCTACGGCAGCAATGCTAACATCTCCCGGCAAAGTGTCCGGCAAACTCGCTGCGGCACGAGAGTTGAGCCGACGTATGAGGCTATCCGACATATCGCGTGAATCGTTTGGTTTCGACGTGGCGGAGTTTGGGTACGGTATTCCAAACGGAAGTGACCGTGCGACTCCAGAGCCTAGTAGCCCGACGAAATCGAGACTGCTCGGGTCTGCGCACAAGCGAAATAGGTCAATCCCCAACGGCGTCCCCTCGGATGATCAAACAAATATTCTTGTGATGCAGTCGCAAACGATGCGAGACTTGGAAGAGTTGACGCTGGCGTTTGACGGGTTGGAGCGATTCGGCCTGTGCTGGAAGAAAATTGACAAGTGCGTATCGGACTATGTCTGGAAGCGGGACGGTGTGCTGACTGATGTGACATTTAGGAGCAAACGTAGACGGGACTCTGGCGCGATTAAGGATCTTCGAGATGAGTTGCAATATACTCTGGATGAGATTAGCATGCATGTGGACGCGGTGCTGGACGAATGGCTGACTGCACCCACAAACGGTAAGTCTTGTCTCCTAGGCATGGTCTGCCGGGAGTCGTGCTAATGAATTCTTTCGGTATAGAAGCGGAAGAGGCCGAGCTGGAGGAAATCCGGGTCACCTACATCCCCGAGCTGTTTCTAGACTATCACAATGCGCTGTACTTTTCCGCCCACGTACTCACCAGCGAGATTCTGGTGCAGTGCATGAACCTGGCGATGCAAGTATCCGAGAACGAATACCTGACGCGCAGTTTTGTGTCGTCGCGCCGGATGGCAGAACTGGTTGACGCGTTGGCGCTGTCGAGCAAGGCGATGGTTCAGACCCGGGCCAAGCCTGGCAAGAGACTACTGGGAGGCGAGTCGCTGGGCATCTGGACGGTGGAGGTGCCCGAGGATGAGGAGCATGATTTTCTCCGTCAGGCGAAATGATGTGAAATTCCCACATATTGAATGTATGTATTATAGGTAGGATTTGCTTCCATGGATGGGTTGTTGCAGGAGGGCAACCGGGTAGAAACAATTGCATTCGGGCTGGCCTTGGGCATTTTGCGGCGCTTTCAACATACACACAACAGATGAATGGACATTGCAAAATTCTTATAAATTCCATTTCCCGCCAGCTACCTAGGTATGCTATAGGTAAGTTCTCACTCATACGGCGCCATCAGCTTATTCCCCATGATCTTCGCCGGAAACTCCTCCTCCCCCAGCGTGGTCGAATGCGCCCACGGCTTCAGCCCGTTCTCCTTGCGAATGACCCCCGCAAAGCAACTACTCCACTGCTTCCGGGGATACTTCGCGCAGACATCCTCGATCGTCTGCGGATTGACGAGGTGCTCATTGGCGCCGGTATTATCTACCCACGTCATCAGCCATTGAAGGAGAATTTTTGGTCAACTACATACCCAGCAACGTCGCCAACTGCAACAACTGCCCCAATGTCGTGATCATGCCCTTCTCACATACATCCTGGTGCCGGATGATCGCCTCGGCAACACTCTCCGCCTGCTCCCTCGGCGCGACGGTCCCGATGCCTGCGCCGTCCCCCGACTGCCCGGCGGGATGCTCCACGCTCGACTGCAGGACCTCGAGGGCGAGAAACCCGCCGTAGAACTCGAAGCTCAGCCGGGTCTTGCGCATGTTCTTTTCTGTTGTGCCGAGGTCGTGGAGCACGCAGGCGAGGAAGTAGGTCTCGTCTGTGAAGGACCAGGTGGGGAAGGCGTGGCGTTTGATGGCGAGGCCGAAGTGGTAGACGCGGAGGGAGTGGTGGTAGGTTTGTTCGGAGAGGTTGGCGCGGGCGTAGTCGTCTATGCGGGTTGCGAGGGGGGAGGATGGGATGGGGGTTTGGGCGGTTGGGATGAAGGGGGGTGGTGAGCCGGGGATGTTGCCGTTGAAGAGAGTGGTGCAGGAGGAGGGGACGGCCGTTAGGCCGTATGCTGTTACGGGGTCGAGGATGGTGGTCATTGTCGCTGGTTATTTAGATAGTATTGGTGGTGTAGCGTGATGATGTTGGTGCTACGGAGGTGGTCGCTACGATACGTGGAGAGATAGAGATGGAAGCGGTACTCGTAAGAATGATCTCATTGCCATCTTTGCTTGTCCGTATATACAGCTACCTACCTACACAAGCTGAGAGCATTATCTTCCTGTTTCTTATCGGAGTTGAGCTCTACACTGCAAGACAAGACGGTGTACCTCATCCGTTATAGTCAGAGTGAAACCTTCTAGAACACAGTCATCTTCCATGATCTTCGGCTAAGCCAAGCTACCCTTAGTCTCCGTCTTAATTCACTGATCATAAAGTCATGTCTATCGAAGAATGAGGACCTTCCGATATCATGTCTATGTCATGATGACATGGAATCATACATGTTGGTAGCCATAGCTATCATTTATGGAACCAGAAAGTAAATATACGGTACCTCTACTCCGTACCTTTAGTTGTCAAATAGATACTAACTTACAGACTATCGAATTGGCATACAATAACCACATATCTGGACAACAAATGAGATTGCAGAGACAAACAAGATGCTGGCAAAGGGTGATAGGGTAAAAGCTGACTCTTGGGTAAGGCATCGGTCAGTTATGCTCCGTAGCTAATAGCCAAGGTACACTCGCGACTCATGTGTTATGTTACGAGGTCCCGTATGGAGACCCGGGAACAGACGTCGACGACCTATGGGTCTGAAACTGCACAGCCCACTTGCCAAGCCCATCGATCATTTCCGAACAAAGGGGACAGGTGGGCCAGGTGCCGGTGGTTTGTATGGAATTGGTGATGAGCAGCATTCTTCTGGTTTTGCAAGTGATGTCCGATAGAAACTCATGACCGTAGTTGTAAGGGAGCATGAAGTATGAAGTATGAAGTATAGAGTACCTAGGTAGAGAATCAAAGAATAATGCTATCATAGTGCTCGAGCCCTCCTCAAGAGCTGGAAGAATAATAGACTTTCGGCTGCGTCAGTGGTTATTCTTCCTCATTAGGTATCATGGTAACGGGAATTTTGATCAGCAAATGGTAATCGGCGCGCAATGGATTGATGCAGAAGATTGTTTGGTAGGACGTATCCGTATATGCGTTGATGTCGTGGCAATGGTACGTTGCAGTAGTACCCCTATATACGGAGTAGTAGACTACTCACCCCTACTTCTACTTGTACCTGACAAGAAAAATAGTCCAGGCAATTCGGTAAGTTCATTCTCGGTAGGAAGTTGCTTGGTCTGAAAAGAAGAAACCAAGAAATGTGAAAGTCATGGCGGATGAAACTATTGATTGGGAGAGAAAAGGAGGTGGTGTCATGGCGAAGCGAAGGGGAGGCGATTGAGGCAGTGCAAATGCAATGCCAAGTCAAGAACCAATTCCTACACCAGACCTGTTCCCTTGATTTATCAAGGAGACGTGGCAAGATAATTAATCCATTATTCCCCTTTGCAATTAAACCTGATTTTGATACTCGTCCTCGTCCGGGTTCCAATCATCTCTCTCCCTTTACCATGTTATATACCCAAGATTACATGGAGAGACCTGGGGATAACTAGGCAAGGAGGAGAGTCCCTAAGTCCGTGACATGCGTCAGTTCTGCGAGCAGTTAAAGATATAAATTTTAAGCAGCTTGTTTTCGTTACCATACCGCCGGTCTCGATCCCGGAGCGGGTCCAAATGGGGCTTTGCGGCGGCAGGACCTCTGTTGCATAGACTGTCATTGGTGGCTGAAGTGGAATCGATGGAACACACTTAAAAGCTGTAATTACATTACAGGATCTACCCCAGGACCTCTCGTAGCATTGAAAGCACTTCTTCAAAGGCAGGTAGTGCGTACAGATTCTCCTCCTGCTGTCTACCTCATTGTGTGCCCTGAATCTGTAGCATCAGGGTTATTACCGCATCCTCAGGGCTTTCGTTCATGATCTGAATAGTACCAACTGCAGCACTGTTGGAGACACTTAGTCTTCCATTCACAACAATCAGCAACTCCTGACGACATTGCCTCGCGAAGAATCCTCCTCTGTCCATCTGGAATTGTGAGCGCCTGTTCAACTGATGTGGAAGGTCACCGTGCTTTCTACGGCTTCTAAGCGTGTCTCTATCTTCTTCATGCCAACAGGAGATTTGTCCGCTCAAATCTGCATCAACTCATGAGCTTGCTTCCTGATTGCATGCTCCTTATGTATATTCTGAGCTTGGTTGCGCCGTCTTTGAAACCTGGAATGTTGCCCTGCCCCTTGTTACAATTTCCTTGTATGATTTAACGTGACTGCTTCGTTCGCTCCTTCCGGGGCATTCCTGACCCAGAGTCTATCCCTTCCATACCACACCATTACCCAATCTCTCTCGGAATCCGCTCTGCGGGCTCCAAATCCTGGGCCATCATGTCATCGAATCCGAACCAAGACGCGAAGACTCCGCTCCGACGAGAACGAGCCCCCACCATCACGATAGATACATCCGCTGTGACGTCCACCCCGGATCCGTCACAACCTACCCTACAAGTCTCGACCGAGCCTGTTGATGCGAGCGATACTAGCGCTCTGTTACATAACGGCACTCCGTCGCCGACGGATCTGCGTTCATCGGCCTCGATTCGCTCATCAGCTTCGTCGGAGGGCCGGGACCATGAGAGTAGGCCGACGTCGCCACACAACGTATCGTCTCCCACGTCGAAACTGACCGAGTCGATGTCCAATTCCAATTTCCTTTCAGTTCCTGGCACGAGGTCTCGTGGGAATTCACTTGAATCTGAAGACTCTGGCCAGACTGCCAGCACCTATGGGGGAGAAACGTATGTTAGCCCGCCATCGCAAGGAGCCCGTCCGGAAAATGGGAATAAGAACGGCAACAACGATAAAATTCTCAGTGATGAGGAGGCTCTCAAGCCGGACCCTGGTCGCGAGGCCGAGTTCCAGGTGGATGATAACAGATTCGCCTTCTCCCCTGGTCAGCTGAATAAACTCCTGAATCCCAAGAGCCTCGGCGCGTTCCACGCGCTGGGTGGATTGCAAGGATTGGAAAAGGGGTTACGTACGAACCTGCGCAGCGGCCTGAGTGTGGATGAAACTACCCTGGAGGGAACCGTGAGCTTCGAAGAGGTTGCATCCTCGGGTGCTCAGAACACCGTTCCCAAGTCTGATTCTGAACCTCCGAATCAGGGGCCACCAGCCAGATCTAACACAGCGCCTGCGAAGCGACAAGACGACGCGTTTTCGGACCGGAAGAGAGTATACGGCCTCAATAAACTTCCCGAGAAGAAGCCTAAGAGTATTCTGGAACTTGCGTGGATTGCATACAACGACAAGGTCTTGATTCTGCTGACCATTGCCGCCGTTATTTCGCTTGCCCTCGGTATTTACCAGTCCGTCACAGCCACAGATGGGGAGGCTCGGGTCCAATGGGTAGAAGGTGTTGCCATTATTGTCGCTATCGTGATCGTGGTAGTCGTCGGTGCTGCCAACGATTGGCAAAAGGAGCGCCAATTCGTGAAGTTGAATAAGAAGAAGGAGGACAGACACGTCAAGGTCATCCGTTCCGGCAAGACAGTGGAGATTTCAATCCATGATGTACTGGTTGGTGACGTGATGCATCTCGAACCCGGAGACCTCGTCCCAGTCGACGGTGTCTTCATCACTGGTCACAATGTCAAGTGCGACGAATCCTCCGCCACAGGCGAATCCGATGTTTTGCGCAAGGCGCCCGGCAGCGACGTCTACCAGGCGATCGAACGCCATGAGAACCTCAAGAAGCTTGATCCGTTCATTGTTTCCGGTGCCAAGGTGTCCGAAGGTGTGGGAACGTTCTTGGTCACTGCTGTCGGTGTTAACTCAACATATGGTAAGACATTGATGTCCCTGCAAGACGAGGGCCAGACGACACCGCTGCAGTCGAAGTTGAACGTGCTTGCGGAGTATATCGCCAAACTTGGTCTGGCAGCCGGTCTGCTGCTGTTCGTAGTGCTGTTCATCAAGTTCTTAGCCCAATTGAAGGATATGCATGGTGCCGACGCCAAAGGTCAGGCCTTCCTGCAGATCTTCATCGTTGCAGTCACCATCATCGTCGTTGCCGTTCCCGAAGGATTGCCTCTCGCTGTCACACTTGCGCTCGCGTTCGCTACGACGCGAATGTTGAAGGACAATAACTTGGTGCGTTTGTTGAGGGCTTGCGAAACCATGGGCAATGCAACTACCATCTGCTCGGACAAGACCGGTACGCTCACGGAAAATAAAATGACTGCCGTTGCCGCTACGCTGGGGACTTCCACGAAGTTTGGAGACAAGTCCGCTGGAGTGTCTGCCAGCCAGGCCAATGGAGACCATAATGCCACCGACTCATCTGGCAGTATGTCGCCATCTGAGTTTGCATCAAGGCTCGCGGCGCCGGTGAAGGCGCTTCTACTTGATTCGATCGTTCTTAATTCCACTGCATTCGAAGGAGAGCAGGATGGAACAATGACATTCATTGGATCCAAGACCGAGACGGCCCTCCTCAGTTTCGCGCGAACTTACCTGGGTATGGGCTCGATTAGCGAGGCGCGATCGAATGCCGAAATCGCTCAGATGGTTCCGTTCGACTCAGGGCGTAAATGTATGGCCGTGGTCATCAAGCTTGAGAATGGGAAGTACCGGATGCTGGTCAAAGGCGCGTCCGAAATCTTACTTTCGAAATCTACACGCATCATTCGTGATCCTACCACAGAGGTATCCGATACGTCTCTTTCGGAAAAAGACCGGTCTGCCTTGGAGAACGTCATTACGCACTACGCTACCCAGTCGCTCCGGACCATTGGCCTGGTGTATCGTGATTTTGACCAGTGGCCCCCTCGTGGAGCACCTACCTCAGAGGAAGACCGTTCGCTGGCCCAGTTCGACCCCTTGTTCAAGGACATGGTACTGTTGGGTATTTTTGGTATTCAGGACCCTCTACGACCTGGGGTTACAGACTCCGTCCGTCAATGTCAAAAGGCCGGCGTATTTGTGAGGATGGTGACGGGTGATAACATTATGACTGCCAAAGCTATAGCTCAAGAATGCGGAATTTTCACACCCGGGGGTATTGCTATCGAAGGACCCAAGTTCCGCCAGTTGAGCGATCGTCAGATACGTCAAATTATTCCCCGTTTGCAGGTTCTGGCAAGGTCGAGCCCCGATGATAAGAAGATTCTGGTTACTCAACTTAAGAAGCTCGGGGAGACGGTTGCTGTCACTGGTGATGGAACGAACGACGCTCAGGCTCTGAAGACCGCTGACGTTGGGTTTTCCATGGGTATCACCGGTACTGAAGTTGCAAAGGAGGCATCAGACATTATTCTGATGGATGACAATTTTGCATCGATCGTCAAGGCTATGGCTTGGGGTAGGACTGTCAATGATGCAGTTAAGAAGTTTTTGCAGGTAAACTTTGGCAGCTTGACAGATCGCATTGTTCTCAGGCTAACGTTTTATCGTTTAGTTCCAAATCACTGTCAACATTACTGCAGTCTTGCTCACGTTCATCTCGGCTGTGGCTAGTGGTGACGAAGAGTCGGTTCTGACGGCTGTCCAACTGTTATGGGTTAACCTTATCATGGACACTTTTGCAGCCCTTGCTCTCGGTAGGTCTTGGTGCTGAACTCCGATGGTCCTATACGTAGCTAACCCTTTCTGTAACAGCAACGGATCCTCCGACTGCTCACATCCTCGACCGCAGACCTGAACCTAGATCGGCACCCCTCATCAATCTGACGATGTGGAAAATGATAATAGGACAAAGCATCTTTCAGCTGGTCGTCACCCTTGTTCTGAACTTTGCTGGAAAATCGATATTTAAACTTCATTCGGAGGATGACATGGAACGGCTCAAGACGACAGTCTTCAACACTTTCGTCTGGATGCAGATCTTCAATCAGTGGAAGTGAGTGAACACCTAGCTCCATGTTTACGAGGACGGAGATGGACAGTTACTGACACATTCATAGCTCTCGTCGAATTGACAACGGTCTGAACATCTTCGAAGGCATTTTCCGCAATCGTTGGTTTATTGGTATCCAATTCATCATTGTTGGAGGTCAAGTCTTGATCATCTTCGTGGGTGGGCAGGCGTTCTCGGTCAAACCTCTGGTGGGTTACCAATGGGGCGTTTCTCTAATACTTGGCGTGATTTCGCTGCCTATCGGTGTTATTATTCGACTTATTCCGGACGAGTTCGTTTCCAGGCTCATCCCGAGGTTCTGGATCCGCAAGAAGGGCCCCGAGCTTGTGGTTTCGGATGAGGATCGACGCTTCGAATGGAATCCTGCTCTAGAAGAGATCAGAGACCAGCTAACTTTTCTCCACACTGTCCGCGGTGGCCGATTGAGGAACTTGAAGCATAAACTACAGCATCCCCAAGAGCTCCTTCCTAGGTCGCGCAGTGGATCACGGTCGAGAGAGGATTCTATTCCTTCGACCCCTGTTGGCGAGAACGGCGGTAGTTCACCCCAGCCTGCAACACCCGAGTCGCGCTCACGAAAGCGTACCCGATCTCGCTCTAACTCTGCTTTCGGACCCGCTGCCGCCATGGCCGGTGTGGTTGCTGGCAGTATTGCGGGATGGTCTCCGATTGAAAGAGCTCCAGGCGAAAATGAATCGATCGCCTTCAATTCGAGCAGCCCTCACGGGGGGCTGGATAACCAAGAGGGGATTGAAATTCACCCAGACACCGCAGCCGACGAGCGTCTCGTCGGAGATTATCTGTCTACTTCCAAGACTCCCCCGAGTCAGAACCCCGACCTGATCCCATACTTTGAACATGCTCCTCCTGCCCGTGCACACTCTAGCCGTAGCAAACGGTCTACATCAGGACGATCCCGATCTAGCCAGAGCCAGTCGCGACAAAGCTAGATGATATTCCTGCCTAGTTATCTTCCATCATACGCATTTCAGTTCCCTGGTCGAGGTCCGAGACCAAATACGGTGTACTCATAGACTCTTGCTTGCTCATTGTTTGAAGCGCTTGCTCACTATCCCCTCTTTTCCCAGTTTTCGGCTTTGCACAGTGTTCAATGTCTCATATTTCTGCCTTCAGATGCTCTGGGAAGTTCGCTTTTTAAGCTTGGCACTTTTGTGGAAGCGAAATACTCACCCCCTGTCTTAATATCCCTTTGCTTACTTGCCGATGTCGTGTGTTCTTATACTGGGGGGCGTCTCAGGGATCCCGAAAATTCCGCATAGTTGCTTGCTTATCTCAGATCTCTCTGATAGATTAGTCGTTCCTGCATGGGGGTTGGGCCTGGCGCAAGGCGGGGCGGTCTCTTTGTTTACTGTTTGTTCTATAGTATTGCCACTGCTACTTCCTAGCTTTGCACCGTACCGATACCAATGATAATTGCTCGTTTTTTGTCTAGAACTTTTGCCCAAATGTCATCACTAGGTACGGCACTAGTAGACAAAAAGTGCCTGCAAGAAACTAGGATGGAAGAATAAATGACTGAGGGTTGGCCCCGTGTATGAACTACAGAAGATCTAACTAAGTCTGTCCTCTGTGCTCCGTGCGCACTGCGTTGTATGTACTTGTGATCCAGGAAAGGGGCAAGAATGTGGCCATCAGTATCTACATACTATCAAGTACCTTGGGTAACATAACATGGACAGTATCAGTGCGCAAATCAGGAATTCTGCCGAGGGTGCATCCTTCAACCTCCCTGGTTTGCGCACAGCGAGTGTGGCACTTTTGGCAGGATGACGGATTGGATGGACTGCTGCTTGGTGTCATAGGTGAAACTCGGAACCGCAGGTTAATGTGAGATTGTGCAGGTTATCGTTTTTACCTGAACAGTACATATATAGGAGTGTATGGAGGGGAGTTTCCATTGTCAGTCTGCATAGATCAGGGAAAGTGGTCCTGTCCAGTCTAAGCACCAACCTCTCCTGTGCGTTCTGCGTCCTCCTTGCGTTGCTAGTGCATACCGTGCCGGCGCATCTGCAGAGCTTAATACTTAATACGTCCGACGGTATGTTGACATGCATGGTAGCGTGACGATTTGCACAAAACGGAGTCCCTTTGCTGGATCCTTTTCAAAGCGTATTGGCCGTAAAGGGTTAATAATAACTCCAAAGAATCCCGACGGGGCTGTTGGAGACTGAGTCAAGGCAGGGTTGATTGCAGGGAGCCGACGCCCGTGTTTCAAGGTGGTTGATACAACCTTAGGATCGTAGTGGCTTGCGTTGCTTTGTGCATGTCGATCCTGGACATTGTACTTACTGCACGGATGTCATCATGCGGTTTTTTGCCATCGTGGTCGGCACTCTGCAGCCGATGCGTAGTCTTCCGCGGCGGTATCTGTGATGCTGTGGAATGTCCTGTCACCAGTGGTCGTGCAGGTATTACGTACCTTGTAAAGTCGAAATCGCTTGGTCCATTCAAAGTGATGTCAGGTCAAGATCACCGAGCAGTTAGATCACGTTTATTCCTTCTGAAAAGGTCTCTGCCTCCTTCTTCTCCTTCCACCATCGTCCTTCTCTTCCTACCTCTACTTCAGCCTTTCTGATCATCAGGAGGGTTCCTGTGGTTGGTTTGCAGATTTGGTCATACTCTGTCATTCTGTGATGGTAAGGCCGATGCAAACTGCGAGAGCAAACTAGAGAGGGAATTCGCACCCTTGGTAGGAAAGAAGAGGGAAGAAGAGTTGAGTCCTTATGCCTTTGGAGTGAACAGTGTCCGTTCAAATCTGAGTCAACATGGTGTCCGAATTTGAGAAGCCCCGCCAGTCCCCTTCTTTGCACAGCGTTACACAAGTAGAGCTGGGGGACTGCGGATCCTCGAGCACCGTCTGCCAGTCACGATATCAACGATGGACAAGGAGCTTCAAGAACTTAGAAACTCGCGGAATTGAGCCTGTTTCACCAGAGGATCGTCAGAAGCCCACCACGTCAGACTTGTTTCACATGCTCTTAATATGGTTCAGCATGGGAATGGCAGTAAATCACATGGTTGTCGGTTCAATAGGAACACTGGTCATGGATCTGAACTTCACGGACGCTGCCCTCTGCGCCGTATTTGGAAACCTGATTGGGGGTTTGGCGGTTGGTTATATGAGTACCTGGGGTCCTAGGAGTGGGAATCGCACACTTGTATGGCCTTTTCCGATCAGTCCGTTTTTTCTTTGAATCCGATACGGATTTCCACCATCCAGCTGGCTTGACTTGAGCATGAACCTGGCTCACGAATTGATTTTATAGGTCATGAGCCGATATTTCATGGGTTACCACCCCAACAAAATCTGCTGTTCGCTGAACGTGTTGACCAATCTCGGGTATGGAATGATCAATGCTATGGTAGGGGGTCAGATTCTGTCTAAGCTCTCCGGAGGATCTGTATCCGTCATTGTCGGAATCATCATTGTCGCCCTTGGAAGTGCGATCATGGCGACGTTTGGTATGCGCATATTCCATATATATGAGAGGTATTATCCTTGCGCACAGTGCTGAAGCAAGATGACAAAGTGAACGGCTGACTCGGGGGCATAGATTCGCTTGGTTCCCTCAACTGCTCACATTCTGCATCTTGGCGGGATCAGCAATACCACAGTTTGACCTCCATGCAAAGTCCGTCGGGTCGTCCGATGAGATAAACGCAAAGCGTTTAGGGTTTTTCTCGCTCTGCATGTCGTCAGCTCTCTCGTGGGCACCCTCCGCTGCAGACTATTATGTGTATTACCCATCCACGATCAGGCCATGGAAGGTTTGGTCGGTGACTACTATTGGAGGGTGCGCAGCGATGATGATGAGTATTCTCCTGGGAGTTGGCCTAGGAACCGGTGTGGCGAGCAATGTTAGGTGGCAGGCAATCTATGACGGAACTCCGGGAAGCTTGTTGATGGCTGGCTATGACAGGCTTGGAGTGTTTGGCAAGATTTGCGCGTTCATTAATGTGCTAACGGTGGTTTCCAACAATGGCCCCGGAACATATTCGCTGGCAATGAACTTTCAAATGCTCGGAGACATTTGGTCGAAAATTCCGCGTCCAATCTTCACCATCGCAAGTACCGTCACTTATACAGCATGTGCAATCGGAGGAAGGAATTTCCTGTATCAGATCTTCAAAAATTTCCTTCCTCTGATTGGATACTGGATCATCATCTGGTTCACCATCGCTGTCGAGGAAGATGTGCTCTTCAACCGGTGCCGACGATACGATTGGACTATATGGAATGACTGGCGGAAACTCCCAGTGGGTGTTGCTGCCGGAGTTTCATTTTTGATCGGATGGGCAGGAGCGATTGTGGGTATGGTAAGTGAAAAACCCATCTCTGTTTCTCTCATAGAGGCCTGCAATAGACCATATTTGCTGACAGCTCGGGCGCCAAAACAGGACCAAGTTTACTACACTGGGCCAGTTGCGAATGCGACCACAGAAGGCTGTGACCTTGGGATCTGGCTCGGTCTGGGGTTCACGGCCATATCTTTTCCTGCTCTGAGACTGTTGGAGCTTCAGATGCTGGGTCGTTGATGCGGTAGACAAATTGGTCTCCAGAAGTCAGCCCTTTAGGCCTCGAACGTTGTAGCTATCAAGATTGGATCCGTCGCAGAGAAGGTGTCCCATCCTAATTCTGTACAAACATGTTAGTCCAAGTTCCGCTGGTAGCATAGAAGTGGTCTCGAAAGATAAATAATTTGATGGATGGACAAGGAACAGCTTGTAAAAGTCGAGATTAAACATTTTAACGGTGTAATGTCCATGTGTGCTTCGAAAGCTGTAGAGGTTCGCGATGCCGTAGAGCCTTGCACCACAGAAGATTCGTCTGGTCTGAACCGAGCACAAAGCAGATACCGCTGCACCTGTCATATCTACCTTAAGCTTGAAGGATGAAGCAGTGGATACCGGAAAGCTTACCAATAAACCAAGAATCGCGGTGAAGTGAGGGGAAGAGCTGAAGAAGATCTGAAGGTCTCCTAAGTTAGACTGGTGCCAGGTCATCTGATTTCCTACATCTAAGAATCTGACTTGCACAACACCCTAGGTGGCTTTGGATTATGTCCTCGCAATCACTTCCACGTTCGAGGGGCTCTCCAGCTGTCATGGGGCGGCCCCGGGCGGGCGGTATTTATGCATCTCGTATTCTAGGGCTGCTGATTTGCTGAGCAGCGACTGCCTAGACCACTACTCCTTACACTAACAACATTATTATTCACTAAGGCAACCCCGCCCTTGCTAGGTAGTGTTAGCTCCTGTAGCCCTTATCTACTAGTCCATCTACCTGAAGTTATAATTGGGCTCCGATCATGAAGAAATGTCTCCCTTCCTCATCTCTCCTGTCAATAATGACAAGTGAAAGAGACGAAGAACATAATGGAGCAACTTGCAGCAGGGGTGAAGAATGGCCCATTGGCGATTCTCACCACTGATGTATCACACATCTCCTTTGGCCGCCTGGCCCCCTATATCCTGGCTGGCCTTGCAGCATATCCAGTGCTATGCTCGTTTCTCCGTTTTCGCAAGATGCGATGGCTCCATCGCAAGTACAATTTCCCAACCCGCGAGTCCCTTGCTCGCATGACCAATGACGAAGCGTGGGAAATTCAAAGGGTTCTATTGCAACAGGAGTTCCCTTTCTTCTTCATCAAAGCGCTACAATTTGCGCTATTCAGGGTTCGTCACTCACTCATTCTTGATTTGAAGCACGTTTACGGGCAACGGTCAACTAAGAGACTGAACAGACGTACGGCATCCCCACTATATCCGGCCTCCTGACAGCGACGAGCCAACTCTCAAAACCTGAGACATCCCTCAAACGCTACACTGATACCAGCGCCCTGATTCAGGAATTCATGGGAAATGCCCCCTCCTCAGAGCGCGCCTGCACTGCGCTCGCGCGCACCCGCTTCCTGCACACTGGGTACCGCGCCGCAGGCAAAATCCAAGAAGACGACATGCTGTACACGCTCGGGCTCTTCGCCATCCAGCCGGTGCGGTTCATCGAAAAGTTCGAATGGCGCACGTTCAGCGACATGGAGAAATGCGCCATGGGTACCTTTTGGAAGAGCATCGGTGACGGACTGGACATCAGCTACGAGAACCTCCCGTCAAGCAAGACGGGGTTTCGCGACGGCCTCCACTGGTTGGAGGAGATCATGGCCTGGAGCGACGAGTACGAAGTCCGAAGCATGCTTCCGGACATGAAGAACCGCGAGACGGCCGACCAGACCACCGCCGTGCTGCTGTACATGATCCCCGGCCCGTTGCAGCATATCGGGCTGAAGTTTGTCTCGTTCATGATGGACGATCGTCTACGGAAAGCCATGCTGTAAGCATATGCACTTCCGCCCCCCCCCCCCCCCCCCCCCCCCCC